TCTTCTGTGTCTGTGTTAATTGGTTTCCCTTTTCTTTGTTGAAGAGCGTCTGTGCAGTCCTTGTGCCTAGTCCGCCATCTTGCCGGAACCCTCCGTATATAGTTTTTGTTGCTAGTTGCCATTGAGTAAATTCTGACTCACGACAATCCTATGTGTGCAGAGTAGAAATGCTGCATTGGGTTTTCAAGTCTGTGGCCTTTTGGAAGCAGATCTCCAGGCCTATCTACTCTCTGGGTATGTTCGAACCACCAACCTTTGAGCTAGTAATCAAGTGCTTAACCATTTGAGCCACTGATGGACAATATATAAATCTTCAAGTCATTGTAAGTCATATATCACTTGGATTTTAATTGATGGCCTTTAATATATATCACCTTCACTCATCTGTCAGTTTGTCATACTGTGGTGTGTTGTGTTTTGTTACGATACTGAAAGCTATGTCACTGGTATTTGAAATACCAGTTGGGTCACCCACAGTGGATGGATTTCAGTGGTGCTTTCAGACTAAGACAGATAGGAAAAAAGGCCTGGTGATCTACTTCCAAAAATTAGCCAATGAAAACTCTATATAGATCACAACAGAATACTGTCCAATATAGCACTGGAAGAAGAGCCAATGAGGTTGGAAGACACTCAAAACATGCAGTGGCCACAAGAATGAATTCAAGCATACCAATTACCATGAAGATGGTGCAAGCCCTGGCATCGTTTTGTTGTTGTACATAGGGTCACCATGAGTCAAAACAGATTGGTCCACAACTAACAACAACATACATCAGGGGTTGGCAAACTTTGGTCAATCCAGCTCAGAGCCTGTTTCTGTAAGACCAATGAATTAAGAAAGGTTTTAATATTTTTAAATGGTTTAAAAATAAAAACAAAAGAGTAATATTTTGTGACCCATGAAAATTATATGAAATCCAAATTTAAGTGTCCGTAAGTATGATTTTATTGGAACACAGACATGCTCATTTGTTTACATACTATCTATGGCTAAAGGGCAGATTGAAAAATTGTAACAGAGGCTGTATGACCCTCAAAGCCTATATTATTTATTATCTGACTCTTAAAGAAAAAGTTCGCCAAATCCTGGTATACACTCATGAGTCCCTGCTAAGAGAGTCAGAATTATTGCATATGAAACCAGCTGGCTTAGGATTTAGGGTCTATTTGGTAGACAGGTTATCAATCTGATGATCAAAACAACTTTAGGAGAGGTGTTCTAAATCAAATGCAGACATAAGCCACTGAGATGGTTAAGGAAGAGGCAGGTTATTGACATTGCTCAGCTCAAAACTCTCCAGTGGCTCTCCTTTATCCAGTTCTAAAATTCTTTGCTTGGCATTTAAGGCCCTTGAGGATTTTTGGCTACACTCCTTTATGCTTGGATGTTTAATTACTACATTTTTATGTAAATAATGCATTCTATAGTTTGAGAACCACATGACCTCCTGGTGTGTTAGGTTCCTATGAGTGCTGTGCACAATACACGTTTGCACATTATTTATGTGGGTGTGTTACATGTGAAAAAATACGATACTTATTTTCCTAAATACCATGCTCTTGTGCCTTTTGTCTTTGTACATGCTGGTACTTCCACCTGTGTGCCTACCTAGCAAACCCTCTCATCTTTCAAATCTAAGCCCTTAAAATCTTCCCAACTGTCCTAGGAAGAGTCTGTGGTTCTTCCCCTATCTACTGCATTCTGTACCTACCTTCATTATAGCAATTTTCTTACACAGTGGTTAGTTATTTGCATGCCTGTTTTCCCAACAGACTATAAGTTCCTTGACGGGCAGGCATTGTCTTTTTGTCCCTGTAACCCCAGCAGAATACCAGACTCATAGCAAGTAGACAGCCAGGAAGTATTTGTCAAGTGAATGAAATAAATAAATAATTACACAACAACTGGTCTCCAGTCATCCGGAACAACAAGGTAGGAGTCAGGAATAGAAGGAAGATACAGACTGTGTGGTTAATTGCCTCCATGAACAACTGCCTCCTGTGCCATGACACGGAAGAATTGGATGGTGCCCAGCTACCATTGCTGAACATTTTGAGCAAAGATTCTGTGGGAGAATTCTGATCAAAGGGGGGTAAATGCAGAACATAATTTCAAATTCTCATGAACTGAAGACTTTCTGGAGCCATGAAGGGTGGATGAACCCCTGAAACTATAACCCTGAGATAATCTTTAAACCTTAAACCAAAAATATCCCCTGGAGTCATCTGAAAACCAAACAACAGTTTAGCTTAATAAGTGAAAAAAATGTCTGCCTTGAGCATTATGCTCTTGTAAAATCAAATTAACAACAGCAACTTCAAAGTTCAGATAGGCACCTTAGGGGCCAGTGAGTTTATGTTAATGAGGGAGGAACAATCAGAAAAGGAGGGTGAGAATGGTTACACAATTCAATGTCACTAAGTAGTAGTGCATGTAGAAACTGCAGAATTGGTATATGTTTTGCTGTGTATATTCTCAACAACAAAAAAATAAAATCTAGAAAAAAAATTATTGAATCTAAAAGTGAATTATGTTTGGCTCCTAAATTGTTTGTTATGCCCACACTCCCCAACCCTAAGCTGAGGCCCACTTCAAGCAGTTAAGTGAAGTTCCCAGTTCCAACCGCAAAAAAGGCACAAGGTTATTCTGACTGTCTCTTACCGATAAAACAGGGTGAGCCCGCTGAGGCTGTAAACAGACATAAATGAGCAGCCTGACTGGCAACAACTTGAAACCAGCAGGACAGGTTGTAAAAAGTTGCAAAAGAGACCTTGAGAGGATTGGGCAGAAGGGATTCTGGGCAACATCCATCCTGGTGGAGGGAAAAACCTAATGTCTTCCAGTGAGTTTCATTAATTCCTGTAATCAGGTTCCAAGAACTCAAAAGTATAAGAAAACACAAATCTAGTAGGCAAACCTGTCCACTATTCGAACATTTCCTTTGTAAGAGTGAGCTGTTTCAAATTGATCAGGCCCGAACATTCTTCTCCGGATTAATGACTCATCACATTAAGACACTCCTGCAAGTTGTAACATTTCAAGCAACTAAGTCAGAGCTGGATAATCCATCTCCAACAAATGACCCACACAGAGTTAATTAACACCCTAGGCGCCATCCCTTGGGGACTTCAGTTAACCAAGCAAGTTAAAGTGGAAGGGCTCTTGGGGTTCATTCATTCAGTCAACAAACTTTCGTTACGCCGGCCCTTTGTGTTATAAGATAGAGGAAGTGACTAGACCCGAGCAAGGGGGAATACACGCGGGGAGGAAGGACGCCACACAGGCGTGGCGCAGGGCGCGGGCAGATTCCCAAAGGAGAGGTAGCGGCGAGGACGCGCGGCGGCGAACCGAAAGGCAGCAGGGAGGGGGGTAGGCCCGAGGCTGAAGCTACCTGTGGGCGAGCGAGTGAGGTTTTGGCCCTCCGAGTTGACTGCCTGCAGGTAGAAATAACGCACAGGCAGAACGACGTCCGCCTGCAGCCCTGGTCCCCACACCAGGCTCCGCGGTGCGCTCACCGGCAGCTCGGGGGTTCCCGCGGCCACAAGCAGGACGAGGTGCAGCGGCAGCAAGGCCCGGGGGAGGCGATGCATGGTCGCCCGGGCCTCTGAGGTCCGGCTTTGTGGTGGTGAGTGGGGACCCCGAGCGACGCGGGTCGGGGCTGAGGCCCACCGGGGGGCGGTCCTGTCGGCCACCGCCTGCCGTCCCGCCCCCCGGCCTCTGTAGGCCAGAACGCGAGGAAACACGGCCTGGCATACTGCGGAGCCGGAGCACTGGAAACACGCCTCTGCCTCTAGCCAGGAAGGTCATATGAGGAAAAGGATGGCGGGTTCAACACTCAGACACCAGGATGCGAATCGGCGACCTTGCACGCCTGGCTCCCATGTCTGGTTGCTTTTTGTCAGCGATTTAGAGAAAACCATCTTTAAAGGCTGCAACACAGTAGTGACTGCTGTGGAAGAATAGTCTACCGCGAAGAATTTCGGTGGAGTTTAAGGAAGTGATTTTCACTAAGGAATTTCACTAGGTTTATTAGTTGCAGAGCAGATGTCACCCCATACACACACAGACGCACACATCACCTTTCACAGCCCTCTGTGCACCTTACGGACTGCATTCTTCTGTTGTCTGGGTTGTTTCTTCTCGGCAGTCTCTATCTGGACATGACACCCGCTCCTCTCCCTACCCGCCCCGCCCCCGCGCTTCTTTCAACAAGTGTGTACTGAGCATCCGCTAAATTTGCACTGAGCTCTGAGCTGCAAGTTGGGCACAGTGGTGAGCAGAAGGCAGGGTTGCGATCCTGCCATGAGCTTAGTAGGTGAGCTTCACCTCAAAGCAGGGAACTTCCTGTCTTCTGTAATCAATGAGGAATGGTTGGTCTTTTCCATTTTCCACCACTCCTCAGAGGCTGAAGATGCGTCTAGGAAGAGGCTGGCAAGGGCTCTAAGATCCAGAAGGCTTTCCGCCCCGCCCCCCCGACCATTATATCCACGTTTGATTATTTTTCCCTTGTTTGTTATGCTGAGCAGAGGTTGTAGGCAGGTGTTTTTTGTGCTTTGGAAAAGTTCTCAAGCACTGGTTGTAAATCACTGGTAAATTTTAGGGCAAGAGTGGCATTACTTGGTATTATTTTCATTGCTAAATTTTATTTTGTGGGTGTGCCTACATGCTTTAATTTCAAGCTTTACTCTGCTTTAGAGCCTGAAATCTAAAGTCATTTGGTTTGCAAAAGGCTGAAGTCTACATTTGGAACCTTAATGGTATAATGAGTTTTGTCCTAAGTCCAAAGCCATTTTGATTTTCCTATGCTGCCAGCAGGAGCTCTGGTAGCATAGTGCCTAAGGCATTTGACTGCTTACCAGAGGTTAGTGGTTCAAACCCATCAGCCACTCCTCAGAAGGAAGGTTGGGCAATCTACTTCCGTAGTGATACTGCCTTGGCAACCCAAGGAGGGGTCTCTATCGACTCCACGGCACATAACAACAACAACAACAACATGCTGCCAGCTACTTCTCGGAAGAGGGGGCAATCTACTTCCAAAGAGATACTGCTTTGGACACCCAAGGAGGGGTCACTATGAGTTGGAATCTACCGGTGGCAGTGAGTTTGGTTTGTTGCTTTTTATACTATTTCCCAAGAGTTTCTGACCTTGACTCACTGAAGGTGCTATGCTAATTCCAGGGAAAGCCTGGGCAGAGGCTTTTGTTGTTGTTGTTATGTGCCATCGAGTTGGACACAACTCATAGTGACCCCTCCTTGGGTTTCTGAGGCAATATTACTACGGAAGTAGATTGCCCCATCTCTCAAAAACCAAACTCAATGCCGTGGAGTTGGATTCGACTCATAGTGACCCTTCCTTGGGTTTCTGAGGCAGTATCTCTATGGAAGTAGATTGCCCAACCTTCCTTCTGAGGAGTGGCTGGTGGGTTTGAACCACCAACCTCTGGTTAGCAGTCAAATGCCTTAGGCACTATGCCACCAGAGCTCCTGGGAAGAGGCAGTAGCCATGATAATTCTAGGAACCATCAGGGAAGCGCAGTTTGACCGCAGGAAGAGCAGATTAAGTAGGAAACAGAAAAGGGGCTCACACAAAGAACTAGGGAACTTGCCCAGACATATCTCTTTAGAACAAAAAAGATATTTTGGTAAAGGACAAATACCACCCTTACCCTGTTCTTGCTCTGGGTGACCTTGTTTCTGTTGTGGGTGATGGGACTAATGAAGATCTTCCTGACTATTGTTACTGAAAACTTGTACCATTGAGAGAAACAATCATGGTGATTCCATAATTTTAAAGCTCTTGTTATGCGCCATCGAGTTGGACAGACCCCACTCATAGCGACCCCTCTTTGGGTTTCTGAGGCAGTATCACTACAGAAGTAGATTGCCCAACCCTCCTTCTGAGGAGTGGCTGGTGGGTTTGAAGCGCCAGCCTTCTGGTTAGCAGTCAAGTGCCTTAGGCACTATGCTACCAGAGCTCCTTTTAAAGCTCTTATTGATATGAGTCGGGGCCGACTCGACGGCACATAACAACAACAACAACAACATTGATTGTAAATTGCTAGCTGACTTGTAACTTGTAATATATACCGCTGACTTTGTAATATTCCTCAGACCCTGTGGACCTTTGTTCTGATGACAGGTCTATCCATTTCCCACCTTTTCTTCCTTTGTTGCATGTGTTGAATAAAAATTTATTTTATTCACTATTGTAACTTTGTGATAGTTCTTCCCCTAGGACAACTCCGATCCGAATTTCACTTAAACAAAAAAAACTCGTGTGGAACACATTTCAGTGATACTCTTCAAAATTTAGTCTTAAAAAATTTCCAGAGAAATAATCTGAGGTTTAGCTGAGACTAAATATTAATAAAATATGGCCTTCATTATAACACTTGTGGTAACACCGTAAGTGGCAACACCTAGTTTTTTTGAAAACATACAAGCGATGCCATATAATTGTATCTAAACATTCTCTCATTTAGAAATACTGAGTCTATTTTCTTTCTCATCTTAGTCTATCTCTTAAAAAACCGTATCTTCGGATCAACCAATGTTTTGACCACTTTTTTTTTAAATCATAAATCAAATTTCATTCATTCAATAAACATTTTTTCAATGCCTGTTATGTTTTAGATGTTATACTAAGTACAGGGCAACAATGACGAATATGATAATCTAAGAAAGACAAAGAGGCAATGTAAATGTGTGATGAGTGCTCCACTATGCATGTCAAGAACTATTCAGAGTCTCAGATTTTACCCCACTTACAATCAACTAGTTAGCCTGATACTGTTCCATGAATGCTATCAAAAGGCACTGGACTCCTGGGTCAGAGACAGAGGACTTTATTACTCACTGCAGAAGTTGTTGTTGTTGTTGCTGTGTGCTGTCGAGTCAGCCCTGACTCACAGCGACCCCTCCTTGGGTTTCCGAGGCAGTATCACTACAGAAGTAGATTGCCCCATCTTCCTTCCAAGGAGTGGCTGGTGGGTTTGAACCACCAGCCTTCTGGTTAGCAGTTAAGTGCCTTAGGCACTACGCTACCAGAGCTCCCACTGCAGAAGTAGTAGCCAGAAAAGTGATGGTAACTTCTTAGCCACAGCCAAACACCTTCAGGGAGTGAGTCACTGGGCCCGTGGAATCAGGACCATGGTGGAAGGGGACATCAAACTCAATTGGCATAACATACTACACAAAAACATTGTTCTACATCCTACTTTGATGAGTAGCAACTGAAATCTGAAAAGCTTGTGATTGGCCATCTAAGATGCAACAACTTGTCTCTCCTTCTCCAGAGCAAAGAAAAATTTAAAAAAATCAAAGACGCATGGAAACAAGTAGTCCAAGGGATTAGTTGACCATATGAACCTCAGCCTATATGACCCTGAGACCAGAAGAACTAGATGGTGCCGGGCTACCACTGTCAACCACTCAGAAAGGGATCAAAATAGGAGATCCTGGATAGAGTGGCAAAAAAATGTGAAACAAAACTCAAAATCATAACAAAGACTGGCTCACTGGTCTGATAGAGACTGGTGAAACCCCTGAGACTATGGCCTCTACTCACCCTTTGGGCCTGGAATTGAACTCACTCCCATGGCTTCCAGCCAGACAGTGGCCAGGCCTATAAGGGGAACATTTATACTAGGTAGATACAATCCTGAGAACAATCAACCATGGGAGATCTGAAGGGCAGCAGTTGGACAGATAGACAGCTCAGAAGGCAAGAATGCATAGGAAAGAAGGACACAGGGAAAAGGTAACCAGAGAGGGGAAGTGGGAAAAGAGCTGTTATGTTATGGGGATTGCAATCAGTGTCATGAAACAAATGTGTATGAACTGTGGAATGGAAAATGAATTTGCCCTGTAAACTTTCACCCAAATCACAATTAAAAAAAAAAAAAAAAAAAAGTAGTAGCCAGAGCTTCATGTTGGTTTGTGTTGGTTACCTATGCCCCTCAAGTTCTGTGGGGGCAAACACAAACAGCCTAAAATGGGTTGCATTACAGATGAGGCATACTGATCTGAGGGGATTTACTGCTTTTAGGATAAATAGAATCAAGCCTACTCTTTGTCAAGAGAGACTCTATCTCATGCCTCAAGGTTGCTTGCTGCAAACATAATTCTAAGAAATGGTCTGTTTAGAGTGGCCAGGACCTTACATTCTTGGTGGATCCAGGAAGAATCTTCAGAGATATTCATGGCCCATGACAGGTGGCCTGTCCTAGCAGAAGTCCAGTTACTATTCTATACATATGAGGGTCGGCTAACCTAATCTTGGGGGAAAATCAAGAGAGGTTTTCTGAAAGAGATGATATTTATGCCAAAATGTGAAGGTCAAATAGGAATGAATAGAGGAAAAAAAGGAGTGGGAGGAGGCAGGAGAAACGGCATGTACCAAACTTGAAGAAAACTATCCATTCCAAAAAGTTTCACTCCCCTTCATGTTGATTCATATTGAGCTCCAATCTCACAGATAGAACTGCAATCTCTGTGTGATTCTGGATGCTATAGATTTAATAAACTTTTACAAATTGAACTAGCTCCTGGAATCACACTAAAGTCATGAAAACTTTCTACTAATTATCCA